GGTTTTCCAGGTCTTCGGGATGGTTTATTGGCGTTTTCCGCCGTCGGGACGCGGGACGGAAGAGCTGCCGCCATATCTGCTTCCCGCCCAGCCCGGCTGAGGGGAGCGGGGGCACCTGTGGGCACCGGACCGCGAAAATGAGCGTTTGAAGGGCTACGGTAGCGTTTTCTGCTAATAATTAATTTATTTTTACCTCCTATAGTTTTCCACCCTGCTTTCCTCCCTCCCCCCTCCCCTTCTTGGACAGTGATTTATTCTGCCCGGTGTCTAACGGCGCGTAGAGTGTCTGTGACTTGCTGGAAATAGCCCTTTTTTCATTAAAAGATACAGTCTGTCTCAAAAAACAAACGCAGAACTTTAGTTGAAGATATATAATTTATGCTGATTACAACTACCAGTTCACTCTTGGGCGCGTTTTGAACAAGGTTTTGTACCCGTGGATTACAAATCTTAAGGCGAGCAGCTGTTTTTCATTAAAAAAGGAAAAAAAAAAACAAACAAAACAACCGTCTTTTTTTTTTTCCTCCCATCTCTTAATCCTGCTCCCTCGCCCAGGTGCATGGAATTGGAATATGGATCACATGACAGATCGTGGCTGGTTTTTCTCCCCCAAGGAGGCACTTCACCAGTATTAAGTGCTAATTTTTATTTCTGTAGTACCACCCAGTGGTGAGTCCGTGTGTTACTCCCAACCCTTCTATTTGACTGACTCGTACATAGGATTAAGAAAACAAACCTATTAATAGCCGCAATGCAGATGCCATATAGTTCGGGAGAAAGTTAAAGTAAAATCACCAAATGAGGGGGGAAGGAAAGAAAGAAAGAAAACAAAAAAAAAAAAAAACAAACAAAACAAAACTGGTTTGAGTTCTTCAGTGGCCGTCCTATTTTTTTTCCATTTAAAATAAGCCAGATGGCAGTGGAGAAATGCAGTTCTGGGTTTAATTCCATGTGTGTGTTTATCCAGGCTGGTAACACCGTGGAGGTTGAGTATATAACTCCCAACTCCAGAACTCTCTCCTCCTAACAGTCCTTGAGGCATCACTTTGTTAAACTAAGGGAATTCCACTGCTGTTTAAAAATAAAGAGACGATTTACTGTAAACAACAGCTACAACTACTGTGGAAGTCAGGAACTTACTAGAACGATCTGTCATCTAGACTTCTTGTCGCTTACTTGTCTTTGAAATACTTTCCAGGTTAGGTTTATCATCAAGGATAGCTATTCCTAAATACTCCCTGCTTAAATTGCCTTTTACTAATTTAAACAAATACAGAAAATTGAGTGTCCACGAGGCACAGATTCCTTATCTGTTACTTAATTCACATGTTAATGCAAGTGTCTTTCAAACAGATTTCTGAGAATAACAAAGGGTACTAATAAGAGACAAGAGGAAGACTGAGTAAAAAAATAAAAACTTCCCTTAACTTTTTACTGATCTTTCTCATTGGTTGTAACTTATATAGTCATAGTCTTTTCTGAACAATGTATTTTCTACTGAGAGAAATCTAACCAGCACTAGCTAGTTAGTTATTAAAGTAATTAGTTATATAAATGGTTATTATTATTATGGAGATTTAGTTAATAACTAACCGGTTTAGTTATTAAAATTACACAGGTATACCAGAGCCTGTAGGGCCTTTTTTGGTTGTGTGATCTCTTCCAGATAGCATGAAAACTTCTATAATGAAAAAAAAAAAAAAGAGCAGTCCAATATATTACAGTTATCATGTTCTGCTCATGCCTGAATTAAGGTAGCAACCACCTTTCTCTTCTAGAGCAATTCCAAAGCTTGAGATCCATCAAAAGGTGGCTCAGAGGGGTTTATATTGTGCATATATGTTAATTTTAGTAGATTTTGTGCTGCCTTACCTTTTGTGTCCAGATCATTTGTTATCATAGAAAAACCTCATTCCCACAATCTGCATAATCTGATTTGAACTGACTTTCTGCTTTTTCTTCCTTATGCAGGCCCTGCAGTAACTTTAACAACAGAATCCAAGTGAACTGCCAGAAACACCTTAAAAGATGGTTTTCCTGACAAATCAGCTCTTTGATCTGAGAGCAGCAGCAGCACCAGAGTCAGCAGAAGGAAGGGAGGAAGGGGCCTTCTGGAGCCTGGTGTCACATGCCAAGCTGAAGGAGCACAACAGAAGAGCATTGGGTGACCTTGAGTCACTCCTGCTTTTGTTCAGAATGGAATATTGAAAGCAAAATTCCTTGTACTGCACACAATTTCGTTTTTTTTCTTTCTAACTAGAGATTTTAACCTGAGATTAAATTGCACGAGACACGACCTGTAACTGCCTGATGAGTGATCATCAGCCTCCTGCCCTCCTGTGCTTTGCTTTCTCCTGACCTTTCTTCTCTCCCTGTGCCATTCCAGCAAGGCTGTTTTATCCCCAGGAGGCCTCTTCCCTTCCCCTGACTGAGAAGCTCCTCGAGGATCTGGAAATATTTGCTCTGGTAAAGTGCCAGCACTGCTCTAGAGGAGTGACTTGGAGAAAGGAAAGACATGGGCAAAACTAAAATTCTTTAATCCAAATTCAGGACTGGATTAAGAGTTTGAGAACATACACTTTCCAAAATTCATGTCCCAACACTGAACTAAAAATCCTGTTTTTCTTTAACATAAAGATGGAGTCCAGTTATATCTGTGACCTCGAGGCTGGAATGCTGCTGGAAGTCATTGGAAGCCACATGTAAGTTAACCCACTTTTAAAGTTTCACCACTTGACTGCCACTGCTCTCTTAGCATTTTCAGCTTTTTAACAGGCTTCTCATTTAACTAGACCCCGAGAAGCCAAATTCAATTAGTTTGATTTAGCCCAAATAGTAGAGAATATACTCAGAATTCAGCTGCATTCAGCCAAAAATGCATCATGGAAGTACAGAAAAGGCATTTCTGAGCACGAGAGTGCCACCAGCATCTGAACCACCTTACCAGAGAGTCCAGGCAGCTTCTGTTGAAAGTCTGTAAACTTCAAGACTCAGGAAAAGCTGAGGCAATATTTAAAAAGACTTAAGATTTAAAATGTGTTCACAACAAAAAAAAAATCCAGACCACTTGGTACATGTTGATGGGGCACCTGGAAGAGATATTCCAGTGTATCTTTTAGGAAAAAGTGCTGTTTGGCTTTTAACTTACAAATAAAAGTGAAAAATCTGAGTGTGTTGTTTTTATTCATACTCTTAACTTCCCAAATATTCCTCCTCAATCCCACTGACAGCACAAACAGGGAGTGAGAAACACACAGAGACCAACAGCAGCACACGGGGCAGGTTTGGACAGCTGAACTCTGGGATTTTGTGTGCTTTAGGTAATTCAGGTGCACTGTGAATCCCTCCACTGCAATGGCCAGGCCTTTTCCCAAGGGAATCCTGCTGACCCTGATCTGCAGGATTGGACAGTGAAGGATCTCCTGAAGCTGAAAGTCCAAAAGTAAGTTCAGTCTCAAGAACTCAACGCAGAGGTGCCTTCCTGATGGGCAGCGGAAGGGAAGGGCATCTTTTTTTCCTT